TGATGAACCTTTGTGGAGTTCATGAACGTCTACTTGGAGTGTATTCGCGAGGCCAAGGCGCAAGATGCAAAAGAGAATTTGATCAAAGAGAATGTGAAGAAATACAACGAGATCGTTAACATGATCTTCGAGTGGGTTGTTGCGAAGTTGAAGATACGCAATTTGTTTGCGGACGGCATTTCTGATGTCGATCTGTTGGAGAAGAAGGAGATGCTGACTGGGAATCTCTCGACGTACACTGTGGAGGGAAATACTTTAGTTAATAAGGCTGTAGCTATTAAGGAGCAATTGCGATTAATAACTGAGCAAGACGAAGCGGACATGTTGATTTGTGTGGAGACAAGTGAGTTAAAACAATTAGTACAGAACGTCTTAATGATGATTGAAACGCAGTTACAAGGGATTGTCGAGATTGTGGACACGCGAAATAACTTCCAAGAGCGGAAGCAAGAGATTGACAAGATCATTTCTGAGAACGAGAAGTTAGTGTGTCAACGGCATGCGAGTATTATGAGCGAGTTTTGTGCGGGTCCAGTGTCTGCAGAGTACTTCACTCGTCGCTTTACAGAGCTCCAAATCTTGAATGAGCAATCAATTGAATTGTGTCGAAAGCGAGGAGAGAAAAGTGGGGAGGTCATAGCAGCGATCCCGCCGTGGGAGACGTTCTACAACTTCTGGGAGAGAGTTATAAGTATTTCACAGACGGTGGTGAACCACTTAAAGAATTGTGTGTTGAAGAAACAAAGCTTCGAAGAGAATTTTGAGAAGGCCAAGAAATGGCATGAGGCGGAGTGTCAATATGCAAAGAATGTCTTACGAGCAGAAGAATTTGTGACGTCGGAGAAGACGACATTGATGTTAGAACTACCGTCGAGCCACGAATTCTATAACATCTTGTTGAGGATCACGGGAGACTTATTGCACGACTCGACGAATGTGAGTGAGCTTGGAAAGAACTTGTTGGCGACTTCAAAAGATTTGAAGAATGCTGTTTTGGAGGTGAAAAGTAATATTGCGGGGAACAGGAATTCGGTTGACAAGACGGTGAAAAATGCGAATGATTTTGCGTTTGGGTTTATTCAGAATTGTACGCCGTACGCGGACGAGAAGATGGAAGAAGGGATGTTAAGTGGCGATGCTGAGTTCATTGACAAGTTATCGAAGTTCTATGATGAGACGAAAAAGAAGAGTGGAATAGAAGAGAATCGAGAGATAGAAAGGAAGAAGTACTCATCTGCGTTCAATGAGTATGTGACATGTGCAAAAGATATTTTGAGTGCGGAGCGAGTCAATTTTGTGAGTCTGAAAACGTCTCGGAATGACTTTGGGATCATGCAGGAGTGCATTTCTAAAGAGACGGAGTGGGTGAACAAATATGTCGACTACGGTGAGATGAAAGAGAGTGTCTCTGACTTACAGAAGAGGATTACTGACAAAGGATTGACTAAAAAGGATGAGAAGAGTGACAAGAGTGTAGAGAAACAAGGCGAGAAGAGTGACAAAGTTGAGAGTAAAGATGAGTCTGAGTTCTTAGACTCCAACAACAAATTTAGAAGAGAAGCTTTGCTCGATGTCTCACCAATGCAACAACGGGAGTTCCATCGGGAGTTCATAACAATGATTCAATCAGTGAATGACTTGAGTCTGAAGCTTTCACTACTTCTATCTTCGGAGAAGAAAACACGGGACACACACGTTGAAGTTGAAGACATTCAAGAGCGAGTGTATTCCTTGGCAATTGAAGCAATCAGAAGTCCACAATTGCACTTTACGTGGATGTGCGAATTATCACAGAAGTTAAAGAAGACGAAGTTGATGATAGAGCATGGGCTCTGTGAAGTGGCTATTGTATACTACTTATTCAAATCATTGTATGGAGACAACGTTGCTGGAGACTACGAGAAATTGCTCTTCAAAATTGCACCGGACTTTTTGGTGTACGAGCCGTCGAAGATCTCGACAGGAGTGGCTTCTGCGTTCACTGACGAGAAGATGGTGAACCACGGGAAATACGCGATCGAAGCGTTTAAAGAGGGGGGTGCGTATTCCCACGCGGAGTGCGTCTGCGAGTTCTTATTAGCGCATTTTATGAACATGAATGACTTGTCGCAGATTATAACGACGCACCAACAAATCGAGGAGCTCTACACGTCACTGAATGAGTCTGGGAAGAAGCTGGAAATGCACTTCTATAATGTCATTGTGAGCAATGACGTTGAAATGAATTCGAATTCGACGGAGAAGAGTGTTGAATACATCTACGCCTCTAAACTTGTGTCGCCGGACTTCTTAAAGTACATAGAACCGCTTTCAAGACGGTCCGCACGGATTCAGGTGAGAGAAGTGTTTCCGGTGATCAATGGGAAGGTAGTCCGACAGCCCCAAAGTGTGTTAACACCAACAGATGAGTTTATGTTAGAGAGTGACATCATCGGAGAGACTATTGAAGACACAACAGCAACTACTGTGGAGTATAAAACGCATCGAAAACTCCCATCGTTACTGTCGCGAACTAAAGTAATGAATCAGAACAGAAAGGTGTTAACACCATGCGAGAAGACTATTGTTGATTTGAAGAAATTGTACGAGGCATTAGACTCCGTGTTTAGTGTGGAGAATACTATAGAAAGGGAAGTCGAGTTTGAAACAGTCATCCCGATCTTGCGATTCATATTGAAACCGACACAATACACCGGACTCTTGACAGTCACACAAGTCTTCTTCGCAAAAGAGATGAAAATGAATGAAAGAGGAACACTGAAAGAGTTATATGAAGTGGTGTGTAACATGTCTGTATTGTGTAAAAAGGTGTTGGACAAATTCGAGAGTAATCATTCAAAAGAAGTCGCCGTTGCTCGAAAGGATTATTTCAATTTCGCAATGTTCATCAAGTCGATTGAGGATGAAGTACTCGCGTTCTTTGAGATGCCTAACGAAGAAGCGTAGTAGTGTAGTGTGTTATTGATTTTCACATTTCATTTGTATTGTTTTTATTACTTCAATAAGATGAAATAGCTATATAGTATTTATATAGTTTTTATATTATTAATTTACTACTAAATATAACATTATTTATTTATAATATATATACTATTGTTATTAATTATTTATTTATAGTTTAGATATTAATACATTATTAATAAGTATTTATTTTATAATTGAATACTATAATTAGTAGTTGATATGTTATAGTTTAGTTAATAATGAATAAAATAGTAGTTATTAAGTAAATAAATACTATTATTATTAGTTAATGAGTTATAGTTTATTTTTTTAGTACATATAAACTATTTAAGACTAAACAATGAAACCGAGCGATTCACTTTATTTCTTGGCAATACCGCCCTTTCTCATTGGCATATACTTTTTCTTCTCTGTCAATTCTCTTTGCATCCACCACATAGTCCCTTGCCCACTTCCTCCTGCCGCTGCTTGTTGTTCCTTCAAGTATTGTTCTGCCTCTTCGACCTTCTTTTGTGTCTCTTCAACTGTTTTCTCTGCTTGTGCGGCAGCCGCGTCGGCCTCCTCTTGTGCTTTAGCTGCAGCGTCGGCGTCACTGTCGGCGACTTCTTTAGCTTCTGTGGCGATTTTTACTAAATGTCAATATACTATTAAGTGATAGTAATTTTATTAGAACGTATAACAAACAAGCTTTGGCGGCCTTTCTCTGTGCGGCTTCTAAAGTGGTTTTGGCTCTTCTCATCGGCAAGTCATCTTCATTGTCCAATTTGGCCAATTCCTGAATTGCGGCATTTTTTGCGACTAAACCAGCCGTCTCGATTTTCTTCTGTAACTCAGCCCTCTTCTTGTTTTTGGCATCTTCTTGAGCTTGCACTGCATTCAAAGCTTTTGTCACTTCATCCTCAGCTGCTTGCGCTTCCTTTTGTTTTGCAAGTGCTTTCTCGGCAGATGCTTTGGCAGACTCATTTTTCTGTTTTGCGGCTTCGGCAGCCTTTTTGGAAAGGTCGGCCTGTTTGGTGCACTCCTCAAGCTTCTTTGAGACTTCGTCTAACATCTTCTGAGCGGCAGAAAGTTGTTCGGTGTTATCACCTTGTGGAGCATTGGCCACCTTTTGCCAGTCTTGTCCGAAGTAATAGACTAAAAAGTGAAGAAGAGAAACTCTCTTAAAGTTTTCAACACCAGCATTTTTGAGTTGGGAACGCATCTCTTGGACGGTCTTCTGATTTCCAATTTTTTCAAAAACTCGATGGACATTTAATTCATCTAAGTCACACCCCTCAGCATGGTTCTCATGCTCAAACTCAATAAAAGTGTTTGTAAAGCCCCACATCTCTTCGGCAAGAGTGTCTTTATAAGCAGGCCATACTGCATTCAACATCCAGATCGCTTGGTCTTTAAAAACTTTCTTATTCAAAGCCTTAAACTTCTCTAAGTCTGTCATTGGATATTTGAGTTCTAACTTCGAAAAACAACGAAATCTTTTTTATCAAAACAAAAAATCAAAATTTTTAGAGGAATTGGTCTTCTTTATATTTATTAAATGAAGTCCAACTAAAAATTAAAATTAGTTTTAAAATGTTACAATTAGTTTCAAATTAATTTAAAAGTGTTCAACAAATAAAAATGATTGTAGAAAAATAATTAAAAATATTATCAAAATAAATTCAAAGTGTATCACAAAAAAAACAAAAATGTACCTTTTTCAAATGTCTCATAATTAATTATTATTGTTTCAAATAAAAGTGTTTTTGTACCAATTAAATTATAAATTGTTTCAATATTGACAATTTTTGTTTCAAATAAAATTAACAAATATATAGGAAATTTGTTATAAATCGTTTATTTTCATCACCTTTTCGGCTTTCTAATTGAAAAATATACCAATAACTTTTCTAATATCAAACTTTCAATATATTCAAAACAATCTCCAATATTTTTTATATTTTTTCAAATCATTGTTCTCAAGTTTACATACTCTAATTTTTAATATACCAAATATGTTTTCAATTGTATTGTATTCTGGAGAATATGAAGTTTTAAATAGAACTTTGCAGCCTTTATTTTCTGTAACCTTGATGATTTTTTGATGTACGGATACGTTATCCAACACAAAAGCGACATTTTAAGCAAACAGATATTATATTCAACAAGCAATTTAAATCCAGCAGAAAAAAATATCTCCATCAACGACTTGGTTAAACACTTTGCTAATTTTTCTCCACTTTCTGCAATCGAACATGTACAACCATTATTGAATGTTAAAAAGGGAGCAATTATAAAATGTTTTTTACAATTTAAAAATGTCTTTTTAAACCCTAAGTTTTGTTCTTACATTACCCAATTTCTAATGAGATTCATCAATAAACACAACAGCAAAATAGGGTTTTTGACAACTTTTCAACTCTAACAATCTGTTGACATGTAATTTTTTTCTGATGTATTGGCAACTTTTCTTTGTATTGGCACTTTTTGAATGACAGAGGATCTAGTTTGAAGTTTTTTATTAAAATTTTATTGACTATGTACCTGTCTGACGAAGATACAGAAATCTTTTTTACCGCGACTCTTTGTTTGCCTCAAAGACACAATTTGTTGACGAAGAAGCGAAGTTATTTTTTTCAATATGTCGTATGAGTATTTTGGGTTTCTTCCTTTCTTTTCTTTGTTATATTACTTCCATTTAGTATTTTTTTGAATATAATATTTCATTCTTTCTGTTGGTATTTTAGTTTTATATATATAATAATTAACGTGTTGAGGCAGTCCACTTTCTTCAAACAACCGGAAATGTAGGTATTATCATTGAAGATAATTTAACCAATCTTGGTAGTTAATTATGCAAATTGAATATAATTCAGTGTTATTGGTGTTTTTTCCAATAATTAACATTATTAAAGGTTTTTCAATCTTTTCAAAACTTCTCAAATTTTATGAGTAGGGGGTCATAAAATATAATATCGAACTTACAACAGCTCAAACATCGAGCTAAATTCAGGAACGTTAGAACTGTTTTTTCAATCTTTGCATTTTTTGATTCTCAATATTCAGTCTTTTTTTCTGAGACTGCTGAAAATACTTGTGTTTGATTATTTCGAGATTCTTATATTGGAAGATTATATTTTTTAAGGTTTTTATACGTATACATTGATACATCACCGTTTTCGTGTTGTGATATTTAAAAGTTTTTGGAAATATCGTGTTATTACTAAGTATTGAAAGCTGTGGTAACAATTATTATAAATTAATAATAAAAAATTAAAATAATAAAAAGTGAAAAAAAAAGAGATTGCCATTAATTAATAAATATTTGGGACCTACATTGACCACCACCACTCCGTTAACTAAAATAAAATATTTGCCTCGATTGTTTTTTTGAAGGGAGTCCACTTTTCAGCCACTGTTTGTGCGTCCCCATGTCGCCCACTTTCCCTGTCCGTACTGTGTGGACGCGGATGTGGTTTCTCCCCGCTTGCCAAGGGGCCAGGGGGGATCCGCGCCAAGGGAGGACTTGGAAAGTGGGTGAAACGGTGCAAACAGACTGTTTGAGTGCGTCTTTATGATCCTTCTTTTCAATGCTCCGTCTCACTCGGTTTTTTACTATCTTGAGGTGAATTTTCGGCATTTCTGAATTCGGGAATGAGACTAAATATTTTTCCCGACAGTTGGGAACATTTTCATATATAAACAACTTTAAAAAATAAATAAGGTTTACATAATATATAATGTTACCAGACTGACTTTATGAAAAAATGGAAGGATGCCACGGAGGAGCATCCAAAAAATATAATTAACTAAATAATAAATTAATATTTGGTCGAAAATTGATGTTGCTGACCCGATAATTATTTATCGGGTTTTAAAGTGCTTGTAAATAAATATTATAAAAATTATGACTAAATAATAATAACTTCAAATTATATTATTGAAAAAAAATATAGTTTATATATTTAATTATTATGATAATTATAATTATAAATAAATTATATTTTTTGGTTAATGGACTTATTTAATAATATTTTATACAAAAAACATAAAAAATATATGCAAAAAGAAGTGTCAACGATTTTTGTAATGGTTGTCACAAAAAAAGAGTCATAACTTGTTTTTAAAAGAAATAACCGAAATGGTAGTTTAATACACGTACAATACAAACACAATATATATAATTATAAGATTATAATAAAAGAAGCATGAAATAAATATTTGTAACAAAACAACGTATTTTAATAAAAACATTTGTTCAAGTGTATAGTTGTGTCATATATATTAGTCAATACATTTTTACTGTTTAATGTGCACATAATATTGCAACATCGAATAAACAGTTTTCACTCTAAAATAAATATATTTAATAAATTCACAAATATCGAGTGCGAATAAGGTAGTAATTAGAAGCGTTTATTGCTCTGTTCGAATAAATATGTTTTTTAATTTGTTAACAAGTAATTTAGTCTTTACCTCCGAACAGATAAAACACAAAGTTTTGTTCAATTAAATTGACATATTTTGTTCAACCAAATAAGTCATTTTTCTAATTTTTTTATTCAAAACAGTAAAAATTTTTATATAATACTTCGTTGTTAATTTATTTTTTATATAGGGGTTTCGAAAATACTACAAAAACAGTTTTTTAAATCATGTTACTCTTTCAATTGTGCAACTTATGTACATTTTTGGTAGGTGTAAACTTATGAATTTATTAATAGAAATATATAAAATGATATTAAAGCCCTGAGTAAAATATACCCATTTAATTAAAAGTATATGTTCAAAACAGTTTTTACTAATAACTACGAACAAAACAAAGTCTCAAAAATCATGAATAATCAACCCCTGATAATGAAGTAAATAATATCGTAATGCTTATTTACAGTAATTATATTGGCATAATAAGTTTTGTGTCTCGTATCAGTTTTTTCACAATCCGAAATACTTTGAAGCATTATTTGCCCGATAAAACGTCAATATGATATTATAAATGTTTCTTATTGGTTATAATAGAGCACACACTTATTATAGTTTTAACTTTTAAAGTGTAAAATAAAGTGAAATTGTTAAATTAATTATAGTTAATATACATAAAATAGCTAACTACTATTTCATATGTTATTTTTTGGTTTCTAAATACTAGTTAAAATGCTAATCATATTTTTACTAATTATTAATTATAATTAATATTGTCAAACTGATTTGATAATTTATTAACATTGGTAATGATCGATTATATAGGAACACAGAAATGAACCACCAAATTTTTGAAAAGATTTTAAACCTATATTTAATTATAAAAATAACTATAAAATTGTTTTCATGTATTTCCAAAAAAATAGTAAATACAATAGTAATATAATTAACGAAAATAGAACTGCGACCTCCATTTTTAGCTGAAGTTTTTGAAATTCCACATCTGCCGAATTAATTCTTTTCAAATAAGTTTTGAGTCAACTGTTTAGCTTGAAATCCCGGGGTTGAAGGAACAAGTTGTGCAAAGGGGGTTTAAACTAAACAACACGAGACCAATCAAAACTTTAGTGCATTATGGTGGTTCAAAAAAACATTGAAAAACAGTTAAAAAAGTGCCTTGTTTTTGAAGAAAGCGGTCATGAAGTTATACATATAATAAATACTGTTATTACTTACTAGTTTAATAAAAGAAATGCGAAGTTTAAAGGCAAATGAAGCTGCAACAACACACCATTACTCTCCAAATGCGGAAAGGACAATTGTTCATTTGAACAAGATTGTTTTGCTGTGACGTGTTATTCATTATAATAATTGTTTATCAATTTTCATGGGGTTTTAAGTCATTTTTCATAACCAATATCACACAAAAGCGAAAGCTGTGGAGTTGACAAATATTAGCAAAAACCTCCTTAAAGTTGCTGTTGAAGCTACAGAGAACAAATGCATGACATTTTTTTAAAAAAATAAACCTCTAATTGAAAATAAAAATAGAAACAAAAATAGCAAAAACATTTTTTTTTTGTACCTAATTGTGTCATTTCAACCCCACTGATTTTCCCGTTTATTGCCATTAAAAAACTCTCTTATTGTTCGCGATAAATATAAACAATCGGGGTTAAATAACACTGTCACAGTTATTATATCGGTTAGTTATGAAAAATAACATCTTCTTCAAATTTGTTATTATATTAGAAATTATTTTACTAAGATATTTTTACTGATTTCCGATAAAAACTCCGAACAACTATTTTTCACTGTCCACCACCAAAAATATATTTAGAAGCAAAAAATGGTAATGATAACCAGTTACTCTGATTTATTAACATGAACTACAATTGAGAGATATCAATGAACAGTGAGATAAATCAAACAAGCTTCTTCTCTCCGTCCTCAATGAGGTGTGAAGATGACAAGGCTTTGTTATTCCGTGTGATGTCTCAAATTTCTACAATATCTAAGAGTTATAATGGACTCTTTGAAAAGCGTTTAGAGACTTCAGACAAGCTTTGCAATGAATTAGTTTCTATTCAAGAAGAAATAGAAAAAGCTAAAAACGACTTGATGCTGAAAAAAATTAAAAATATGGACTTGGAAATTCACCTGGAAGAACTGAATAAGAACGAAGAGGAGAAAGAAATGTCTGTGATGGACTTTCTTCGCCAAATGTCAAAGGAAAAGCCAATCAGTCCATCAAAAAGTCCACAACCCCCCGCGCAAAGTTCTCCCACGACAAGTCCCAAGAGATCAAATGATTTGTCAATAACTTCCGGATATACTAAATATATGAAACTCAAGTCGTCTTTTCTGAAGAAAAAAGAAAACAAAACAAAAGACAAGAAATCCGACGAGGAAATGAGTCCTTCCAGTCAAAGCCCAAAATCGATAAATATGTCAAACTCAAAAAGTTTCCATTTTCCTTATACCCACAGTCCAAAAGAAAAAAATTATGACGACCGCAAACGACTTGTTGTCGGCTCAATTAAAACTCTCTTTGAAAACAAAAAAAAGAGTCGCCGTTCACTCGACCCAAACTGCCAATTCGAAAAAGACTGCTTGGACTCTGCTAAAACACAAAAGGACGACTGTTTAGATACTTATATCTGTGTAAGGTCCCAAACACCAACTATTAAGCCAGAAATTCACTTGTAATTTTCCACCTATTTGTCTCATCCATTGTTTTTGTTCTTTCGTTTTGGTCACCTACAGATGGGGTACTAAGGTTTCGACTAATAATTAATAATTTTTATACCATTGAAAAAACTATATATGAAAAGTTATATTTGGAACAGTTTTTAAAAATAAATTAAAAAAACTTTAAATATTAAATATTCAATATTATTCAAATAGTATTTAAATAGTAAGTCGAAACCTTGGTTCTTGTCGAAACTTGAGTCCCACATCTGTATGTTTTAGACCATTTTATCTTTACCTTTTTTCTTCTGAACTTTTAAAATACCATTGAACATCATAATATCGGGAAATCTCGAGTTTATTAAAAAACTTTCTTCATTTTTTAAGTTTATTATTCAAATTACTTTACACATACCAAAAAGGGAAAATAATCAAAAAATGTTTATGTATCCCTTTAAAAAGGGTCAATAAGAAATGTTATCTTAAGTTAATAAACAAAAAAACATTGACAGTTAAGTTATCGAACTATTGCTTAGCAAACGAACCTTATTATTTTGTACAATTATTATAAATAACTAATAAACTATACATATATTAAAGTTTTTTTTTGAAAAAATACTTGTTTTTTGGTTTTTAATTAAAAACCCATGATTTTAAAGAAAATGACAAGTACTTTTCCACTTAAAAGAAAAAAAGACGGGCTAAGGTTAATTTACTAAATTGTAATTCTAAACATTAATTTGGTAGTTTGAATAATTGTTATAATAGTTGAGTTTTTATTCAAAACTTAATTGGTATTTTCTTATTCACTTTTTTTAAAATAATTTTTAAATCAATTATTATTTATTATTAATTATTAATATTAATTACTATGTAAATAAATTAACTTTAACTATTTTATTTAGTTAAAACCAAACTTTATTTATTAAAAAAATATATCAGAATGCAAGTTTTCTTTTTAGTTGTATTTTTAGTAGAAAACAATTTTCGCTTTAATAACAATTCCAATTAAAATATAATTAAAATATAATTAAAATATAATTAAAATATAATTAAAATATAATTAAAATATAATTAAAATATAATTAAAATATAATTCTTTTGTAATAACAACACATTTTAAAAAATGATATTTTATTACTATTAAATTACTATAAAATGAATTCGAGTAAAGAACTTAATAATACCTATGGGGATATACTTATCACTAGTTATTGGTGTTATAATAATTGGGGTACTCTTCGATATATTTAAACAATATCGGAAACACCAGACGTACAAAGTGAAAGAGATACCCAAGTCTATCAAAGAGATTTATGGCGACAAATTAACACAAGAAGAGTTTGATGCCTCTCAGAGTTACCAATTGGACTCTTCGAGACTTGTGTTTATCAAGATAGCTGTCAAACTAGTCTTCGAAGTGACTGCATTTCTCAGTCCGTTATTTCCAAGTGTCTACAACCATTATAAGTCCATGCCGGAGTACTTGTCTTCGATACTCTTTGTCCTCACATTCAACATTTTGGACACTTTAGTTGACCTTCCCTTCTCTTTATATAACACTTTTGTGATTCGTGAGAAGCACAAAATGAACAACATGACTCTCGGAATATACATCAAAGACGCTTTAAAAAGCTTTGCGTTGTCTGGTGTATTGAGTATTATAGTGGTCACGGTATTATACTTCTTGGCTGGTCCAAGTGTCTCTGTTGACTCTCTAGAAGACCAAAGTAGTGTTATTAAGCACTTCACTCTCTATTTCTGGCTTGCTATTATGGTCATAGACATCGTCATTTCCCTCATCTTTGTCCCATTCATTCTCCCACTCTTTTACGAGAAAAAGCCATTGGAAGAGTCCGAACTGAAGACCAAAATTACTGAAGTTATGAAAGACGTCGATTTCAATTTAAAAGACGTGTGGATGATCGACGCATCGAAAAAGATGAAAGAAGGAAACGCCTTCTTCTCTGGGCTTTTTGGGAAGCGCGACCTTGTTCTCTTCGATAATTTGACCACATCATGTAACACAGAAGAAATCGTTGCTATTGTCTTACACGAAGTCGGCCACTGCAAACATCGTCATTTGTACAAACTTCTCGGAGTGCAGTCGATACTCATTTTTATAGTATTTAAAATTATCGAAATTTTCTTGTTCAAGAAAACTCTCTACAAAGACTTCGGCTTCGATAGGACAGTTTACGTATTCGGTTTCGTCGTGTTAAACACTACGTTAAGTCCTTTGATGGAAATTATATCAATCGGGTTGAACGCTGTTATGAGGAAATTCGAGTTCCAAGCAGACAGATATGCGGTGGACAACGGATTCACTTGTTTAGACTCCGCTCTTATTAAACTCTCTGTTTGTTGCTCACTCATATTATATTATAATAAATAGTATAGCTTAATATTATTTTTTGTTTATTATAGTTTATTATAGTTTATTATACTATTAAGTATTATATATGATTTACTTATTTATAGATCATGAATAAATCTTCGTTGGTTGACGACCCCATTGTATCCGCTTTGGAAAACTCACACCCAACTGTCGAGGAGAGAGTGAAGGTAATCAGAGCTGTTGAGGTTAAGAAGGATAAGTGAGACAAGTTTTACTATTTTAATAGTTTTTTTATTAAAAATTAATTAATAATGTAAACTAATATAATTCTTAATAAATTAATTATATATTTATATAAAATCCCATAATTCTACAAAAATAATTTATTTGATAATTTAACAATCCATTTATTATCGTATAACAATGGGAAATGTGATGTTTAGATTAGAGTCTCTGATTAACTTGAAGATACAATTTGAATTCTGATTTCCTTTTATTATTTGATACTATTTCAGTATTATTTAGTTAGTAATATAATTATAAATGACATTATTAAAATTATGGTTTAATTTATAATAATTTTCTAATATTTTAATTAGACTAATAAAAAATCGTTTTGAACAACTATAAATTTAAACTATAATTATCACTAAATTTCGAAATTATTTTATTACTATAACTATTCTAAATTTATAATTTTTATTATTATTATCACACCAATAATAAGAACCATACTTTATAGTTAATTATATTATAATATATAGTTTACACGCATAAAAAATTGAAACAACAAAACTACCAATCAATCAAAGAGGATTACATGAGTGAGTCGACTGAAGAGTTCAACATCTTAATAATAGCCAACCTTCTCTTTTCTACTCTTGCCTTTAAATTAAGGTCTTGGACCTTCCCCATCTTTTTGAGTAAGAACAGATGAATATATTTTCTGACCTTCAAGAATTCGGGGTCTTTCACACTAATAAGTCTCTCGAACGCGTGATTCACACTTTGGATGTCCTCAGCAGCGAGTAAAGTCTGTAAAGCTGTTCTCACAAAGACGGTCCCTATAGTAGTCAAATTTAAGAAATCGATTCCTTTGAATATTTTGAGGTTTAAAAAGTCTTTTGCGAGCATGTCGCCAAGTAACTTTCCCCAGTTGATTGCGGCACGTGGGCCGTACGCGTCCAAGTCTTTAATTCGATCGAAAAAGGCCAATTGGAGTGTATACCTTGCTCCTTTAGTCTTTTGAACGAGTTGCTCGACGATCAGTGTAAAGTAGATGTTATACGACTTACTCTGTCCAATGCAATACATTAACACATAAACTACTTCACGCTCAGCTTCCCCTTTTAAATTCAATTGTAAGATCCGTTGATACCCATCTACATAATCCTCCGCTCCCATAACAGCTGCAAACACCGCTCGACGAACTTCTGTGTTCATATGATGTTCGCGCGCTTTGGCTTGTAAGTCCCCACTTTTGTCTTCATTTTGGGGAAACCCTAGTTGGTCTTGTGAGGTGCTCAATGTCGAGAACGTCACTTCGGAATTGGCAGAACCGGCTTCCCACCATTTGTTCTTCTTGTCTAAAATTTCAAGTAAAGTAACACGAAGAGTAAAGCCTTTTGCAACGCCATTTTTCTTCCAAATGGCATTGACTAGGCGTTTAAGACGGTCAACTAAATCGACATTTTTTGGAGTAATTTTGTTGTTTTTTAAGTCGTTTAAAATTTCTAACACGAATTTTTCTTTTGAGTCTAAAGGGTGGCCTGTGAGAGCGGCATTTGCTTTCAAAATTGTTTCTTTCAGTGCTTTTGGTTCTTCTGAGCGGAGGATGGAGCCGACCGTTTGGATGATGGTGATGACAATATCAAACTTCTTCTCATCGATTGCCTTCAATACAGTGTCAAAGATCAAGGTACTGTCGATGATGCCAAATTCATAGAACCCACACACTAAGATCGAATTGCTGATTGTAAGCTCTTCACTATATAACGCTTGTAATAAACTCCCACAGACACCAATACTCACAGTCCCACACAAAGTAGATATCAATGAAGATATAGTCAGAATTTGATCGGGAGTATCCCCTAATTTTTTGACCGTTTGAAGTGTGGAGCTGACTATTGAGTCGGTCACATACGCCTTCGGGTATTGCTCAAAATAACTCGTCATCGTTTCCGTGATCAATTCAAGTGAACTCGAGGAGAGACGATTTAACTGACCGCGAACACACTTTTGGACTTCAACTTCAGACATCTTATGTTTAATTTTAGGGTTTTTTTGTATGTGCCTTCAAGTTGAAAAATTAACGAGTTCATTGAATTAACGTACGATTTGAACAAATAATAAAATTTAATAGAATTTGTAAGACAAATATAGACTTTGACACAAATATTATAAAGAATTGAAAATATTATATTTTGTATCAATGATAATGATTAAGACTACTAAAGATAATTAAAAGTTTAATAACAGATAAACTTATCTTGTGAACATTATAAACTTATTTAATAACACACTCATCACCATTTGGTTCAATTGTGTTATTTCTAGTGCATGCAATGCACTTCTGTTGTTTAGAATCGTTCTAATTACTATTTGTTATTTATTTTTATTTGACACATTAAAACATTTGATATATCAAAACATAATTATCAAAGGGTGCTGGCTTTCGCAATTATAAATAGAAATAGAACAAGTGAAATGTCCCGATATAATAAAGTAATATACTTTGACATAAATTGTTATTTCATCAACAAAACTACAGGTAATAAAACCAAACAACCGGGTAATTACAATTGTCACTTTTTTCTCATATGTATAAAAACAAACTTTGTTTTTATTTATTTGGTTAGTCAAATTAATATAATCAAAGACAATCATGGCAAACTTTACTGGTAATTATGAAAGTATAAATTAATTATACTGAAATATAATTTAGTTTAATTGTAATATAGAGTCGACACCAGTATGTTTACTACGGAAAGAGACTTTTTGTTCTTGTGTTAAAGAGTTGAAATATATTTGGAGTTTTCAATGTTTTTGAAATCAGTCCAATTGTTGCATCGTTTGGCCATGTGCCCATTTAAACTACAAATTCTACATATTTTTTGTTTTTCAAGAAAAAATGACATCTTGATGGAGCGTGCTTCTTGTAAACTCTTTGAGTTTTTTCTGGGTTTTCAACAAGCAAAACTTTTTTACTTGGTCTCATTTGTGAATTTTTAAGAGTCAGTGGATCGAGTGTAAATGGGCTTCCTTCAATATGTTTGACCTTTTCTTTTTCTGAATTTTCTTTTAAATTTGAAGTGGTTATATTGTTGCGTCTTATATGTCTGTAACAAAATACAATTTTTGCACTTGGAAATATCAAACGAATTGCTGATGTTTGAGCAGCACAGCGATCAACAACAAACGTGTTTATATTGTTGTGATGGTCTTTTAGAAAAGATAGAAATTCTTCGTAATAAGACGTGAATCTATGCCTGATAAATTTAAAAGCTATAAGTTGGCACTTTCCGTTGATGTCTTTGCATAAAGCTACAACAATTGGTATTTTAAATTTGTTGGTGCAAAACGTGTCGTCTAAAAAGACGCAATCTTGATAGATGTCATTTCTAAGTAACTTGTTAAAGAAAAAGCATTCATCAAAAACATCATTTTGATTGTTTACAAAAAGTGTATCAAAGTTTGACAACTCAGAAACAAACTTTGATAGTTGATTGCATTGTTCATTGTTCATTTGTCATTGCACCCAACATTCGTTTTCATTCTTTTTTAATAAATAATTTAGTGTACTTGTTTTTGAGTTTGTCTTCTGTGATTTTTTGCAAAACATTTTGCTCTATATCATTTGCAATTATCTCTTTTGAAATTTCTGACAATCGATTTCTCAACATTTTCATTGGTTTTATAGTGAATGCGTGCGAATGTTCATCATGTAACTCAAATTTAATTATCTTTTCACTTGTACAATTATCAAACATCACAATTATTTTAGAATCACACTTATATTGTTGTTTATATACACAGTTATTTTTAAATGTTTTTCTATCTTTACCAATGTCTTTTGCATTATATAGTGAAAACAAAGTATTATCAATTTGGATTCTGCTTGCTTCAACAATTTTTGTTGTTGTATTGTTTCTAGTAAGACTTGTAGTTATCATTTTAAGTTTGTTGATTAATTCAATTGGAGTTCGAACTTTTGTTAAATTTGTGTTGTTCTTGATAATTAGTTGCACATTGAATTTATCTGTAGATTCAATGTTCTGAGTATTTGGAAATTTTGGTATCATAATTCCATTCAGTTTATCTATAAGTCCATTTTTCCAATCTAAAATATCATCAAAATCCCTTTCAATTTTGATGAATTTTTAAGTTTTATTTTTTAAAAAACTTTATTATAAAAACAAAGTTTGTTTTTATACATATGAGAAAAAAGTGACAATTGTAATTACCCGGTTGTTTGGTTTTATTACCTGTAGTTTTGTTGATGAAATAACAATTTATGTCAAAGTATATTACTTTATTATATCGGGACATTTCACTTGTTCTATTTCTATTTATAATTGCGAAAGCCAGCACCCGCTTATTTCCCGATTATTTATTTTTCTTAAAAAACAATATAAACAAAAAAAAATAATTAGTAATTTTCAAATTATGGCAGCTCTAATTTAAAGTTTGAACATTATACATTAACCGGCCAACAGTATTTTTTTACTTGGGCAAAATGCACGAGACGCATAAAATTGCGTTTTTTTTCAATTAAATGAATATGAAGAAACCATATTCTAAAAATAATATATATTTGCTATTATTTGAAAAGGCATCTTAAAGCAGTTTTCAAATAATCGACACTTCAGCAAGAGATCAAACACCAGGTTTTTACGATTATTATAATACGATTTTAATTTTAGGCCCGAAATATAGTCGACCACTTTTTTCTAGACACTAGTAATGAGTAGAAAAATCTTTATTATAACTGTGACAACATCGGAGTAGCAAGACAAACTTATTACAATTATATTTTCGTTGATTTGTGCGGCAGAATGGGTTTGCAAAAAAAAAATGTTTGTTATTTTATTTAAAAAAATCGAAAAATATTTTTTACACATTTTATCTAAACAAAAACAATAACCAAAATTTCAATTTTATTTTTTTAAAACGCTTTTTTGCGTCTCGTTTTTTTAGTCTGTTAATAAATATGATAAAGAAAACATTAAACATTTATAAATATTATGAAAAATTATTTTTTTATGTTTTTTATTAATATATTGACAACATACTATCAATACGTGTTTTTGAATAATTAATATTAAAATGCCATTAAAACTTCACATATTTCTTTATTTTTTTAAAATCAAATACAATTTGAAAAAAAGGATTTACATATAGTAGAAAATTTGGGTGTCAAGAATAAATTGGGTGTCAGATTGATTTTGAGTTATTTAATGGTTTTTCATATTTTTTGGGGGGGGGAAATAAAATAAATACGAAACCCATTTTTTACATTAACTAATCCCTAATTTATTTGACACCCAATTTATTCCTGACACCCAATTTTTCTACTATCTGTAACATTAATTGTATTTTGTCTATAAAATGGTGTTTATTGTATTATTTGGTTCTTAATAAAGATATTCTGTTTTTTATAATTTTTTGTTATGTTATTAGAAAAAACTCGTTACAAACCATAATAAATAAATAAATTTATTTAATTGTATACTTAATTAATCATAAAATGTAAACAACTGTAGTTGTTCAAAATTTTAGATTAATATAATATTATCAATTATCAAGTTGACTATAAAAATGTTAATTATAAAACAAATAATATAAATTGAAGTTTTTGTATTCCATAATGATTTGTTGTAATTATTATGAACATAATAATTATTCATATTAAAAATATTGAAAGTGTGTTCTTTTTAATTTAATTGTTATACTTGTTTCATATGTTTTATAGTATTAGGTTCAACATATATAAATAATTTTTATCAACTAATTTAGGTAAAACTTTTCAAAAACCGGAGAGTATGGTAATTATTGTTCTTTCAAGATCGGGCATTTTCGCCCATCAAATGTTAATTGCTGCTTTATAGAAAACTCTATTTTTAGTTTTAGTCTAAAAGTGCCCCTCTTAAGAATTCGCTTTTCAAAATTACCGCTCTTGGGAAATTTTACTGTAATAATAAAAAACAATGTTATTCATATACTGAATTTTATTATATTTTATTCCAAACAATACAGTTATTATTCTTTAAGAATTTTATAAATTTATTGTTATTTTTTAATTATTATTATTTCCATTCAAAACATAAAATTATTAAATTAACTACTTTGCACTTAATATATATTTGTTTTGATTTTTCATGTTATTAACTTTAAATCAACAATTATTAATTCAATACTTTTTAAACATGATATCACATTTCTTTGTAAAATGGGTTTAACTTTAATAAGGTAATGGTTATTTATATCCAATATACATAACCATTCAATGAAAAAAATAGTAAACAAACAATATTTTAACCATCATAATAATTTAATTTTGATGTTATTGTTTTTATTACAGTTTGATGTTTATATACTGAAATTAAAATTAATTTAATAAATATTCAATTCAAAAACATGTAGCCCCATACACTATCACGTCTTTGCAACTTGTTAATATAACTTATTAAAAGGTAACAATTGTATGTTTTCTTTTGATTTGTTTCAAAAAGATAAAACAATATTTAAATTGTTTTAGTGTTGTCAACAATGTTTTGTTTTCTGAACAAAATGTCACAGTAATAAAACAACAATTTCAAAAAATAATTGACAATTATAATTTTAAGAAAATATTACATTAATATTTACAGGTCGGTACGAAACCCCTATAGTGTTTGTTTACTATTTTATTTATTTTTGGAAATGATTATTTTTTTAATGGTAAAAATATGGTAAAATTATAACTCATTTTATAGTTTTTGGAACCCTAAATACACATAATTAAAAGAAAGGACATCTTATATATGGTGAGGATGTCAAAAATGACGGGAAGACGTCCCTAATTCATAAAAGACGTTTTTAAAGAATATCGCCAGTCTTTCGTGCAACTATTCGTCCTTTCTCTTTATTAAAAAAATAAAAAAGGTAAGTTCATGTTATTTAACAAATATCTTTTGGAACAAATAATATTTGGTGGTGAAAACTCAAAAAACAATAAAAACTGGAATTTATTAATAAATAATATTAAAACTAATTTTTAAAGCAATTATGTCGAAACAAGTTGATGTGTATTCCATACAAATAGTGGTGACATACCTTAAGGAGTATGACGACTTCATGAACATCATTTTAGTGTGTAAGAAGTATCAACATGTACTTGACCGCATTCGAATGAATCCAATTCAAATTACTTCAAAAACAAAAAATCTCTTCAAGTTCATACAAACACAACAATTTTTCTCACCTTTTGACATCAAACTGAACACCGAAAAATTTTTCTTCAATTTTCCAAAATGTGTTAAAGAGTGCCTTTTGGAATTAAATAATTTCAACGTGTGTCCCCTCTCGGTTTATACACAAGAAGACCAAATTTATTTGAATGGAAACATCCCAGACTTTGTAAGAAAAATAGGCGAACAATCTTTTGCACATCTAAAAATAACATCTCTAGCATTTTCACCTTCTGTTATTGAAATTTCAAATTTCGCATTTAGTGACTGCTATTACCTCTCATCAATTAAACTTCCGTCAAAATTAACACGCTTTGGCAGTTATGCGTTTAACAATTGCAGCGTTTTGAAAGCAATAGAATTGCCCAAACTACTTGAAGTAATTCCGGAGTCATGTTTTAGTGGGTGTACATCGTTGTCTATTATTAATATTTTTAATACAAACATTACTTTCAATAAGTAGAAAGGCTTTTGGTGATTGTGCTTTTAATGATTTTACAATTGAAAAAAAAATATGTGTATAGATGAATCAGTTTTTGTCCATAACACACTCACAAAAATCATATTTTGTGGCAAAAAGTGTATACCATGTAAGACGTGTTCTTCTTGTCAAAATTTGCAAGAAGTTGTGATGGACAACACAGTCGAAATCATTGCAAAGTCTGCATTATCTAATTGCATTTCACTCAAAAAAATCACATTATCTTCTAATTTGGAAATCATATGTAAACGCGCATTTTTTAATTGTCAAAAACTTGAAAACTTTGAAGTTCCACAAAAAGTCCGATGTGTTGGGAGTTTTGCATTTGAGAATTGTGTACAACTGAAAGAACTTGTTTTCAGAAAAACTGTTGTTTTTGAAATGGGAGGATGCTTCGAAAGGGGTGTTTCTCTCACTCACTTGAATGTTCCAAATGATTTTATGAAACATTTGTATAACGCAACTGAAAGTGAACAGGAAATATTCAAAAGACTTAAAATCGAAGTTTTGAATAGAATGAATAACAAAGAAATCAATAACAGAGTGTTTAAATATGACAATTATAGTAAAATAACAGATAACGTTACTATTAATTCCGATTCTATGCATCTTGGTGATTTGGATACTTTTAACACAAATGCTAAATACACAAGCGAATAATTAAGAGTTTATATTCCGTCTACTGTTGTTGATGCAAATTTTGGACTTCATGACTTTAAAAATTTCATTGAGAAACTTGTAATCACTGAAAATGTACTTTTGATGACGGAATCAGAATTTTATATTAATAACGCGAAATATGTCGAACTGCCAGACACTATCACAGTCATACCAAAGTACTGCTTTTCAAACTCAGTTTTAAAAGAAATTGTTGTGCCACAAAGTGTAAGTGAAATTGGTAAGAAAGCGTTTTTAAATTCAAAAAATTTGACGTCGCTATACATCCCAAAAAGTGTCACAAAAATTGGAAACAATTTTGTTCGTGGGTGCACCAATTTAAAGTATGTTGTATTTGAAAATGGTCGTCATTTTGATATCAAAGAAGAAACTGAAAGTTTAAATATTACACATAATGTTACACTGAATACTACAAAACTGAATTATAACGTCGAGTATTATCTTGGTAGTACAAAAATAGAAGTACCATCGAGTGTCACAAAAATAAGTAGTTTTTATTTCAAGAATAATAAATATTTACGTGAAATTGTACTTCCAACAACAATCAAAATATTCGGAGACTCAATTTTTGATAAGTGTCACAAACTGACGAAAATAACATTTTCCGTGTGTAACAACAATTACAACTCGGATAATTACATCGAAAAAATCAACACATTTAAAACTTTTTTCTTTAACACACTTGTTGTGAGTTACAAGTTTTATCTTCAAATGAAAGCTTTTGGCTACACATTCCATAATGTCAATTTAACTTATAAAGATATGGAAGAATTTGGTGATAAAGTTGATACTTTTGTAATCAAAAGTATTAACTACGAAGACAAAAATACGTTAATCAAAAATTTCGGTGACTGGAAACCACATTCATACTTGAATTATACTTTCACCGAAAAATTAGTGATACCATCACATATAGAAATAGTCAAAAAATGTAATATAAATATATATAACTTGAAAGTAGTAGACGCGTCGTTGGTTACAAAAAAATTAAAAATATGTCTTTCTACAACACTTATTATCTTCAAAAAGTCACATTTTCAAATACTTTAGAGATAATCAATGAAAAAGTGTTTTATAACTGTTTTTCATTGAAAAGTGTGACACTCCCTCAAAGTTTGAAAAGAGTTGGAAAACAGTGTTTTGCTAATTGTTATTCACTCGAAAGTGTATTTTGTGAGTCACTTTCAAAAAAAAGAAGTTGTTTTTGATTCACAATGTTTCATGAATTGTTACAACTTAAAAATGGTTCCAAAAATAGAACATTTAAAAAGAGGAATCTTTTGGTGTTGTAATTCTCTTGTCAAATTTGACAATTTTGGAGATGTTGAATGTATTCCTCATTGCACGTTTATGAAGTGTTACAACTTGAAAGAAATTGTTTTACCAGAGACACTTAAAATAATAGGCAAATTTACATTCAAAAATTGTTTTACACTTGAAAGCCTCACATTTCCACAATCACTTGAAAAAATGGAAGATGGGTGTTTTATGAATTGCTCAAATCTCAAATGTGTTAATTTTAAAAACAATTTAATTTCATTTGGAAGTGATGTATTTGAAGGGTGCACATCACTGAGTTCAATATTATTTAATGAAGAAAAAATAGTTCATTATTATGGAGAAGTTAGTTATACTTTTTATAAACAACTAGAACAGAATCAAATAATATGTAACAACGTCAAAGTAAAATTCAATGATTTGAAATTTTTTGGAATTGATATTTTAAAAGATCAAAAAGTTCATTTCATTGATGAAGGGGCGTTTTTTAACAACACGACAATAACTGAAATTGAGATACCTAATAACATCACAAAAATTGGAAAATTTTGTTTTGCATGTGCAACACAACTTATGAAAGTTGTATTGCCACCATCAATAACAAAGCTTTCTGTATTCTGTTTTGATAATTGTATGTCGCTCAAAACAATTAACTTGGAACACATCACAAATATTTGGATGGGGTGCTTTGATAATACATCAATTGATTTATTTAAATTGACGTTAATACATTCTTAATTGCATTGGAATTTTGTTTGTTTTTTGTATCAATAAATTTGTTGTTTAACTTGTTTATACTGTTAAATGTTTTACAAATTTAATATTATTATAAATATTTTTGAGTATATGTTAAAAACAAAAATGTTGGATTTTTGTTATGACTTTTTAACAATCTACGCACAACAAGGTCAGGATTTTTATTCGTTTCCTGATTGTTTAAAGAAATCAAAGAGACAAATGGCCACTTATCAGGTTTAAAATAAAAAATACTAACCATGTCCACAACAATTATTTTGTAATACGATCAGACCCTTTTAGTAATAAATATTTTTATAAAATGAGTAAATTGATTAAAAAGGATGGAATGCAAAAAATGATGAACAATAAAAATTAGAATTTCGGTTATTGTGTTTTTAAAATAAAACGTTTAAAAATATTTTATTCAAATAAAAAATTCTTTGGAGTTTTCAACACCACTCTACTGCACAAATCAGTGTAACACATTACCATATAATGTTGCCACAGTTGTTAAAAGTTTTTTTTTGCTCATGAATATGTCTGGAAAAAAAATAAACGTTTACTATATTTCGAATAATGCAAATTGATAATTAGAATCGCATTAAAATAGTCATAAAAATAGTAATCTGGTTTTTTGCTACATTGTCGACTACGTAAACATCGATACAATGTATATTTTTTTTCATTTGATGGCAAATTCAAATGTGATTTATTTTTATGATTGGGGTTCTTCTTAAAATTTTTTTAATAAACAATAACGCAATTTATTGTGTCTCTTTTTTTAATAAAAAATACCTTTTTAAAGAAATAATTTGTTTCATTTTCGAAGAAAAATGCGAAAAATATAATTTAAAATATTTATCAATCCTTATAATAATTATTTGTAATTTTTTAATTTAAATAAAACACCGTCTCTATAATATCTTCCTTTTGAAATTTGATTCGAACTTTTTAACTAAACTATAACGAAAATATTCATTCAAAATAATGAATTTAGACTCAAAAATAACATATCAATAACAAGAATGTCACTTAATATCATGAAAATAAAAAATCTATTACTTGTATTTTTGATAGCAACAGTGTTTTCAAGAGATATATATGTAGACAACACAATGGGTAGTGATTTGAACTCGGGAGATTCAAAAATTCATCCCTTTGAATCTTTACAAAAGGCAATGTCATCAATAACTTCCAGTGAAGTTATTGAGCCAGTGACTGTATATATAAAATCGGGGTATTATCCACTTATTAACAACTCAATTGAAATCACAAAATGGACATTTAAAAACAGTACAATACCACTCCCACTCACATTGACCAAATATCCCAATGAAGACCCACCAGTTATAACAGGTGGAGACAAAATTCCGATATCTTCATTTCGTTCACTAAACTCGGAAACCGATAAAGCACAATACGAAAAAATTCAGAGTTCAAAAAAGTACATTAAAGTGTGTGATTTGGATAAGTTGTATGACCGAATTGACTTAGGAATTTTTGAAGCAAATTTGAATGCTGAGATTTATGTCGACGACAAGCGGTTCCGTGTAGCTCGATATCCAAACTATGAGTACACAGACACTTCACACCAAACTGAGAGAATATTCATATTACCACCAACGGACACCTCCGTTCAACTCACACCAAATGTGACTGGATATTACATTCCAAAAAAAGAAATTCTTTGTGGCAATGAGACGACTTTTAAAAGTGAACAGAGTGTGAATGGAAAGTACTATTATCTCTATAAGAACGATTCCAATTACTGGACACTATCAACGCGCTTTGATTGTGGTGTCCCGACACAAAATGATGGGGCTTATTTCACGGTCAAGCGAGCTGAAATGGTGGGAGAAGTCAAAGCTATTGAAGCGTCTGGCGCAAAGGGCAATCCTATGCTTCAACAGCCAAATTACATTTACAGAGGAAATATGTGGACTGCTTATGTACCAGACAACGTTGGTAAAACATTTTATTATGCAAATGACAAATTAGATGAATATGCAACATATGACTCTGTGTGGATGAGAGGGTATTGGCTCATCTTTTCACAAGACCAAGCAGTCAAGGGAAAGATCGATAAAAACAAAAGAACATTAACTATTGATAGAGCTTTGGGTGGTTCAGATTACGTAGGGATGACAAGTGGAATGCCATTCTATATATACAACTTGATAGAAGAACTGGATGAAGAGGGTGAATACTATATTGATTATGAAAAAAAAGAAATTGTATATCTACTTGCCGACTACTATTGGTAAAGTGTGGATATTACGAACAACTTCATTGTTTATTAATGTACACACTTTTAATAATTTGACCATTCAAAATATCATATTTGAATATACACGAAAAAATATGATAAGCTTTTATTTATCAAATAATATTCTCATCAAAAATTGAACTTTTAGACTCTCGGGGTTAATGGGTATTTCTTTTTCGGGTAATTATTCAACAATAACTCATAACATTTTTACGACATGGGAGCAGAGGGTGTAGTTATGAGATGTGGTTTGTTTTACATTGTATTGTTACAAGTATATTATTATAGCAATACTTTATCATTATTTGATATTGCTAAACTATAACAATACAATATATAACAAGATAATAGTTTTAAACTATTCTTATTAAAAAACTAATATTACTATAAAATATAGTTCAAATAACAATAAGGAAACGTTACTTCATTATATCATAGTGAGTGCTATCTAACTCATAACTATGCCAACACGACGTCACAAGTATCATTCACTTTTATACCAGCGTTTTCTATTGGCATTGTTGGTAATTACATGAAGCATAATTTTGTAGCAAACAATCCCCATTTGGGGTATGGACATGGTGGAGCATATTTAGAGATTTCATATAATAAAGCTAAAAACAATGCACAAGAGCTTCTGACTGTGGTGCATTGGATTCTGGTACACATTGGGAATATTCTGGTAATGTTATTAAGAACAACTTCTTCCACGACTCCACAGGATTTGGGCAGCCCGGCGGATTGTTTTATGTCGTTGGAATTTACTTAGACGACAACCTATCGAAGCAAAGAGTCTACCAAAACGTTGTTTCTAATTTTGTCGGTTGTTGTATTACACAAGGTTCTGGAAGGTCTAACATTATTTATAACAACATATTCTATAATTGTGATACTGGGTATTCGGGAGATTCTAGAGGACCAAGAAGGTATCACACTACCCCAAATGTGTTCTACAATTTACTGGACACAATGGTGAATAATGGAGTTGATAGATATACGTCTCCGTGGAAAGATCAATTTCCTGAATGGGCACTGTTACCAAAAACGTCGGAAGAGTTAATGAAAGAAGAAAATATTCATTGGCTATTAATGGAGAACACTGAAATATACTGTAATATTTTTTATAATAACAAAAAGGATTACGCTTTTGCGGATCAGTGTAACAAGGATATAAAAAGGTGAGAGATGAACATCAATTCAATTCAAGATCCGATGTTTTGTGATGTTGACAACAACGATTTTAGAATGAGAAAAGAGGGGGAAATTTACAAATATAACTGCTGGGAGGAAATTCCCTTCGAAAATATCGGGATTAACAAACGAGACAATGCTTATAGTGTCTTGTTGTCTTCTGATTTTAAAAAATAAGTGATTATTACGTTTTTATTGTTTTTTAATAAAATATTAAAATATTTTAAATTTTATTTTTATTAAATATTAAAAAATATTAAAGAATTTTATAATAATTAGATGTATTCTCACAATCACAATGATCTATAAAATAATTATAGAATATATATGATACAAAAAAATATACAACATTCAGTTTTTCAAACGATTAATTCTAACAACTAAAGTAAAATATAAAACTTGACATTTGAAGTATAATTTTGTTTTTAAACATTTCTTTATCTTAACACTTAAATGGCTTAAAGAAATTTTTTTGAAGGCAAGGAAAAAAAAGACATAGACGCCAATTTAAAAAAAGTACTTAAAACAACCCATGTCCCTTTTGGGACATAATCTTACTCAAAAAAAGTATAAATGTTAACTCGATTATATAAGATTTTGCATTATTTTTTCAAAAATACACTTTTCTCTCAAATTCTTTGATAACGATTATACTATACTCATTTCTATTATTTATTACTATGTATCACTTGTGTCGGTTTTCATTCAAACCAACGTGTATACATAGTGACATTATCATACTCAAACATACTTATTTGATTCTCAAGTTAATTAATGTTCTAACTTTATTTTTTCAGTTGCCAAATGAAAATCATTTAGAAAAAATTCAGAATAAAAATATATTTTTAAAAGTCACTTATTTTAGAAACTATTATTTTTTCTTGGGGTTTTTGCATTTTGGGCACAAGAAAAGTGAGTGTTTAGTGCACACTGGAAGACCACAAGATTCACATATTCTTTTTGTTCGAGCCTTTTCAACTTTCTTGCAAAAAGCACAAAATCTCTTTTTGGCAACTGTTAGTGATTTTTTTTCTTTGGAATTTGTTATAATTTTGTTTTTCCCAACAACGTCTTCCCACCATTTTTGAAGTCCACACTCAACAAACAGCTGTCTTTTTTCTTCTCCTTTTTTCATCCCTCGATCAAGCCTTCTTTTAACGTAATTCTCACACATTTGTTCAGACAATTTAATTAAAAAATCAAAATGAGACATTTTTGTTTTTTCAAACATGGCATAGGCATTAGTGCAGCAACAATCCAGGATATTTTGAACAATTGCCAAATTGTATCTTCTCGTTTTCATTTTGCACGAATACTCTTGGCAAAGTTGATCAAAAGTATCAACTGGAGTTTTTGTATAATTGTAAGCCACATTTATTGAAGATTTTCCACTTCGACTGTCAATCAATGGAATTTGAATTTTATTGGTAACAATAATGACAGTTTTGCTTTTGTTTGGGTTAAAAGCAGTCAAAAGAATGTTCCCTTTTGAATAAAAGCGTGTATTTTTGGGATTTTTTTCTTTTTCTTCTTCTAATTTCATTTTTTCTTCTTTAATTTCAATCTTTTCTAAATTTAAGAATTTTTGGGAAGATAGAATTTTTTCAGCTTTTTCTTTGTATTTTTCCCTTTTTGTTCGGTTTTTTGGCTCAGCTGGACCAATTTCCCCAAGTTTAAAAAAAATTTTGTCCCATTCCTCCTCAATTTTCGCAATCGATTTTTTGTTTTTCTTTTCCATTTTTTGTACTTTCCTTTCTTTTTCTAAATATGTGTTTTTTTTTCGCTTCAGAAGGAATATTTTTGCTTCTTTGGTTCATGGTACCTATGTACCCGATTTTTCGGACTTCCAACTCCTGCATTACCGTGACACTTGTAAAATAATTGTCACTCTGAAGTAAAAATTCTTTTTTTGGGAGGTTTTGTACTAATTTTAGAACAATTGATTCTCCATGACTCATCCCGTTTTTTTCCTCGAGTTTTCCCTCATATAATGTCATTCCGATGCACATTTTTTTGTCATAAAGACACAAACAGTAAAATTTTAAGCCGTGTTTTGTGGGTTTGGCTGGGCAGTACTGAATACCATGACAACGGCCTTTAAAACCAAACATTCGCTCATCTATACATATCAGGGATCCGGGGTCGCATATTGCCGTGATATTTCGGGAAAAAATATCAAAAATTTCTTTTGCTGCTGAAAAATTGGTTTTTTCCCTTTTTTGATCTCTTTCATTTTTTTTGTCGCACCGGAAACATCGAAACAATTCTTTGAATCTATCTCGCTTCATGCCTATTCTTAAAAATATAATCCCGAATTTGTGGATCCAAAGGCGATCAACGTTTCCCCTTCTTTGGTTTGCCCCAATATAAATCAAAATGCCAAGAAAACATTCAATTTCTTCGAAATCAGTTGGGATCCATTTCCCGTTAATTAGTTCTTCTGCCTTTTCATTTGTACCTTCAACAATTAATTCAATCATTTCATTTGAAAACATTTTTCTAAAACATTCCAAAAGAGATTTGAAATCTTCAGAAAAAACGGTTTTCGAAAAATTTTCTTTTTCACAAAACTTTTGAAAATCAAAAATCCCAAGTTTTGGTTCGATTTTTGACCATCCATCCAAATAATCATCTTTTTCTTCAAAAAAACATTCTTCTTCTTCATTTTCTATTTTTTGATCATATTCTTCAACATTATTTTCACAAAAAAATGGATCATTACTTTCGTCATCACTTGATATTAAACAATCATCTTGTTGGTATTCACACTCCATGAATTGAAAAAAAAGAACAAAAAGGCAAAAAAATAATAATGGTAAAATTTTGTTTATGTATGTCCATTAAGGAAAGGTTCAGCCAATTAAGTGTTAATTTAAACGAGTTTTTATTTTTTCTTGTTTAAAACCAGTTAATTTGTTTATTTACCCACTAGTTAAAAAATTATATATAATCACTGAATTCTTTTAAGTTGATATAAAACTATTTGTTAGTTTCTTTTCACACTTTGCTTCTTTATGTTAATTTTTAAAAGAATTAATAATCATTCAAATATTTTAAAACAAATATTTTTATTACATAATAAACATTTAAATTTTAAGTCAGCAACATCTATAGAAAAATATTCATGTTGCTAACTTAATTAATAGATGATTGGTTGTAAAGTGATTGTGAATAAATATGTCTAAATAAACAATTAATTCAAATAATTTCAAAAGATTTATTTAAAAAAGTTACAAATTCTCATTTTTTTTTACATATTTTGATATAAGGAAAAAAAATGTATTTTATAATGGTTTATTTAAAATGGTTTTTTATTTTGGGAACAAAAATAAAAATAACATTTAATGTTGGTTAAATAGTAATGATCGATAAAAAAATAGAAAAAAACTAAACTATTTCAATTAAAAATAATTATATGTTTTTCTATTTTGAAACAATTAAAAAATATCAAAAACAAATTAATAATCGTAGAATTATTGTGTTTAAATAATTAATACAAGCATTTAAAACCCGATAATAATTATCGGGTCAACAACATCATTTTAGTCCAAATATTAATTCATAACTTTGTTATTTGTATCAATAAAAATGCTTTTTCGTTGCATTCCTCTTTTTAATTTTTTTCATTTTATTAAAAAAAGAATCAACTTTTATTATTTTTAAATTATAATTATAATAACAGTTTTCACTTTAAATACCAGGTGATAAAATATGTTTTCAATTGTACATAATAAGATAGAGACACTCATTATAATGAATAAAAATTATATGTATTTAAAAAGTTGTTTACATGACACATGAATTAAA